CATCCCCTTGTTATTAATAGGCAGGAAATCAAGTAACTCTGCCTCGTTATCCAGGAATTCCGATTCTCTGCATCAGCCCTTGAAACAGCCAGGAGCTGTTAACTACTCTAGTAAAATTAATAAGCCACATCATTTCCACTTTATCTTGATTTAGTTAACGCTCCCCAATGCTGCTGGCACCGCCCAGTGTTTTCCCTCTAGCTCTTAGGACGAGGTAATCATTTCCTTAAATGGTTATAACCGAGGTTTTAAAGTCAATTAAAAACAGACCGGTGCTGGCACTCTTTGTGGTAAGCTTTTACTACTCTCTATTCCAACCAGGAGGTTCCTCCCCCCCCCCCCCAGTAGTAATTTCTTTTTCCTCATTTCCACCCACCAACTAGAGGAAAGCGGTTTTGCTTCTAATCTTTTGTTCTTTCTGATCCTATAGTGCTTACTTGTACTTCTCCTATTTTTTTTTTTTTTTTTTACAAAACAAGCGGTCTCGTTCTCAGGGTGGGGCCTTCGTTTGAAGGCGGTCAGGTCTCCAGTGCTCTGAACGTGTGCGTGGGATAATCGCTTGGGTTTCCTGCATGCCGCGGTTTCAGGTCCTAATATTCTTTGTGCCTTGGAACCTGAGTGCTGTCCACTGTGCACGACACACATTCTGTCAGGGTTGTAAATATTGACTAAATGCACTTTTTGTTTAAAAAAAAAATTAACTTTTTTTTTAAAAAGTTGCAAATAATAATAAAAAATTCTCCTACTACACTGAAACTAGCCAGACCCAAAACTGTACTACTTTCCGAACTTCAGAGTAGCCAGCCTTTCAGAATGGGCACTGGGAAGTTTCATATCGGATTATATACTTCACTATGAATATATTTGATCTCATTCATCACCAAGAATGAAAAAATCAATGAGCGAGAATGAGAAAAGAAATTACCTTTATATCTTCTTTCATAGCTTGTATTCATTGCCTGCATTCGCTCCCCTACCCCATTCCCAGCCTTCCCCATCATTATTTTTATTTTCATACCCACGCCAAGATAAAATTGGTTGAGAATGAGAGGATGTCCAAAAATGGGATTTGTGGGCTTATTCATCTCAGAAATCTACTACAGAGTGTGAAAAGTCCACTGTTAAAAAGAGTAATTTCCAACTAAATTATCTTCTCCAGGCAACTATACATACCACTTAGCCGAACTCCTACTTTCATCTCAGATTTTAGTAGAATGAACTCCCTAATTTGTGTGTTAAACCCCTAATTTACTGTGCTAAAAGCCTTTCGCATTTATATATTACATCTTCTGTTCTAATTTCTTTTAAAGACTTTGAACTAAAAGGGGGTTGAAATGATAAATGTTATTGAGTATATCCATGAGTGAGTTTCTGAAGATAACAGAACTGTGGGAAATGCTGGAAATGGGGATTAATGGTTAAGAGCAATTGCTAATCTTCCAGAGGACCCTGGTTCAGTTCCCAGAACCCATATTGCAGCTCACAAATATTAAAATGCAAAGTGTTTTGGAAATAAAAGGGAAAATGTCCTAAGCAGGAGTTTGGGAATAGTTGATCTTTGGCTAGGCTACGTGTTGGTCATATTGAACTATTAATTGGCAAGAAAGCCATGGCAAACCTGCACCACACCACTCAGAGTATTCTGGGAAACAGGGCAGTTCTAAGGCAGATGCACCTATTGCCATTCTCTTCACCCATTGAGTTCCCTAAGAAAATCTATATTGTAAGCAGAATGTCTGAGCAAAATGGAGTTGGACACCAGCCATCACCGTGTGTCGACTCAGTTTCTTACATGGTGCCACTGTTCCAATAGACTATTTTTAACTCCCTGCATGCTTCTATCAGAGACTGACTAGACAAGGGTAAAAAACGGGAAGCAAGATAAAAGTGCATTGAAGTGGGGACCAAAAGGGCCGTTTCCAGCCTGTGTAACACAGCAGCTGCTCTCCCTGGAGGTCTGCTTTTCATCACAGCTACCTCGACTTGTGACATTCAGATTGTGTTATTGAAAACAGCACCGATTTTCAGTCTTCATGGATGGTAATTCTGCTCTATACTGAGTGGTTATGCTCTCTATTCACACTCAGATTATACCACCGGCAAATTGTTTTTGTTTTTGTTTTTTTTTTTTAACATAAAACAGATAAATATACTTTTGCTCAGACTAGGTCCTATATTTCTGCATGACAGTGTATAAATTTATTAGCCAGTGACTGTTACATATGAGAAGAGATTATCAGAAATGTAGTCATTCATTCTTACTCTCTCTTCAAATAGATCACACTATAGTCTCATTTAATTTATATGCACAACTCACCAGTTACGTTCAAAGAAGTCCCCAGATCTTATCTTCTGATGTATTTCTCAAAACAAGTGAATTTGTTAGAAGTTGTTAGTGTTTCACAACACCTGATGGCAGAATGATTTCTACATTATTAAACACAGCAGTAGTAGTATAGTATATTGCCCCTTATAATTTTACTTGTACTGTTAAGTTAATGTGATTTTGTGTTATATTTTCCTGAAGATTTAATTTCCTCCAGACTACTCTGAAATACTTTCATTTCTTTGCTTATGTCAAGACCCAGGAATACAAATTAGTTTTATTTGGAGATGGAACTTTGGAAAGTAGTTTCTATAATTAATTTTACATGTAACAACATCCACAGAAGGTACTTGTTACAAACCTCTGAGCTAAGTAACTTAAGAGTCTTAGAATTAGGAAGGAGATGGATCTCACATTTGGAAAGTGTCCAGAACCAAATTTAATTCCACACAGAAAGAGCTTTAAGTGGTGGCAAGTAGAAGAGGGATTATACATGACAGCTTGTTGTCAGCAAACTTCTAGAGTTGCTTTATCAACAAATATGACCATAGATGCATTATTATAAATAGAAGAGCCAGTCAGTTCTAAGAAAGGCTACATAGCCACTGCATTCCATCTATCAGCAGGGATCAACCTGTATCTGAATAGGGTACAAAATTATCCATTCTTGAGTCCTATTTGATATCAAGGAAGTTGTCCTTTATAGCAACAATTATTGCTAGTCACAAAGGCAGAAATATACATGTGGGCAGGTATGAATACATTTATAGGAACTTTGGATAAAGCAAATATGAAATTACTTAATTACACATGTTGATCATTTCATTGTAGAGAAAATGTAGACATTTAAATACATTGAATCAGTAAAACAGTAAGAACTTAGGTATGCATAATAAATTATCATCTTTTAGTGATCAAGAGATATTTAAATGCCAGAATTGTTGCTAAGTAAAAACTGTGTACAGTGCATTGGCTCAGAACTGAACTGGGGCTAAGTTGACACAATATCAAATTGGGATATGCATTGTTACAGAGGAAAATGGTGCAGCATGCATGGAAAGAAATGCAGCATAAAATGGAACAGTTGTGCAGTAGGGTTATTAATTAGGGTTTTCTGAAACACAAAACTAAGCCCTTCTTTCTTTGAAACAGTTTGTTATACATATGCGCATACATTCACACAGAGATAGGTGTATATACTTACACTGTGCACACATGTGTTTAAAGTTGACTATGTACATATGAATTTCATGTGCACACATACTATGTGTATGTATAATGTTAGTTTCCTATTACTGGAGCAAATAATTTGGATTAATCAATTTACAGGAAGAAGGCTCACTGTTTTGCAGGTATTTTGGGGTTTCTGGTGGACACATGTGGCAGAGAAAATCATCTTGATTCCTGCCTGGGAAGAACAAAGAGAATAAGGAATTAGTGTCGCTGTGTCCATTCAAGGATATGTCCTCTATGACAAGAAGGACTCATGACAGACCCCACCTCTGCTAAGCCCTGCCTCTTAAAGGGCCTAGCTCCTCATAGTAGCAACAAGATAGGAATCAAGAATTGACTATCTAAGCTGTTATAGAACACTTGCGACCCAAACTACAGACACAGGTAAGTTGATGATAAATATAAGAATTGAATAGTGTATCTACATATGCCATTATAGTAGCTAGCTATTCCAAAATCCCCAGGGAAGATGAACAAGCTGACTCCCCCAGTAAGAAGTTATGTTGCAATCCACAGGTAGTCAGGAGTCAGGAGGGAGAATTTTTTTCCTTCCTTCTTTCTTTCCTTCCTTCCTTCCTTCTTCCTTCCTTTCTTTTTTTTTTTTTTTAAGACAGAGTTTCTCTGTATCTTTGGAGGCAGTCCTAGAACTTTCTCTCTAGACCAGGCTGGCCTTGAACTCACAGAGATCCACCTGCCTCTGCCTCCTGAGTGCTGGGATTAAAGGCGAGTGCCACCACTGCCTGCAGGTAGAATTTCTTAATTTTCTGGGGATTTTAGACTTTCCTCTGAAGACTTCTACTGAAAGGCAGAGCCTCTCCTCACTGTGGATGATGAAATGTTTTAGCCGGTGTCTACAAGCTTAATAAATACTCAAATCTGAAAATAACCTTGTATACCAATATGAAGGCTTAAAACAAATCTAATCAGTGAGTACAATATCCTTGGTATGTTATGTAAAATTAAAAACCAGCAGCACTGTTCTAGGTAAGGAAGGAGAAACTGTTCTCATGGGCTGGTATGAGGAAGAGGCTGTGTTAGGTTAATACCAGAGAAAACATCTGTAGAGAGAGCGTTTAAGTGAACATGTGGGAAGACCAAACTTCTCCAATAGAGAGAGTTTCATGCTTCATGTGTCTGCAGGACAGAAGAGGAGCTCATGAGTGAGGAGCAGACATACAAATCACAGAGGGTCCTCTGGGGTAAGACTCTCTAAGGGTTAAGTATCAGGCTATCACAGCTAGGGAAGTGCTCGGTATGTCTTTCTAGGCCCTGAGCAGTCCCTGGGCTCTTCAAGCTGCCTGCCATGGGGGAGCACTAAACCTCATTCTGCCTGCATTCATATTCGACTCAGGTCACTCCTGACACCCACTATAGTGGCCTCGCTCACATCAACGGCGTGTCCAGCTCTTTTCAGACAGCAGCTGCATTTCTTCCCATTCAGCTCCGTCTGGCACTAATCAGAATACGGACGGAGTCCAGCAGCTGAGAGCCCCACTCCGCAGAAAGACTTACTTTCGGATGCCATTCTCAAACAGGAGATTGGAAAGTTCTCCACAGCTTTCGTGGTCAGCTTCCGTGTGATGAGGCTAAAATTTGGAGATTTTCATAGTCATATTCTTTGGCTTGATAGTCGTTAGAGTGGACCACAGAATTCAGAGAAACGCTCTGCTTGTTTTCAGGCAGTTAATAGAAACAATCCAGGAATCTCTAAACGGGAGAACGGAAGACCGATGCAAACCACAAAGGGTTCTCTGGGAGGGACTAAGTGTCAGCTTACCGCTAGCTGCCAGAGCCACACATGTGAGGAGGCTTCTACACCCTTCCTTAGGCACACCGAGCTCGCAACACTTCCACAAAACCAGCAGCTTGGATGTCCTTCGAACACAAAGGTCTCCAATATTGATGGTGACTTCATGAAGGCATGATGAATCAATGGTTAACCTTCATTGACCATCAGCGGAGTCACTTTTCTTACATCTGCCTCTCTAGTCTCCAGACCATGGAGAGAAAAGCTACAAGTTCCAGGTTGCTAAGTAGTGTTGGATCTTCCTGATGACCAGCTCTCTCAAGCAGAGCCTACCAAGTGTCCCCTACTAGGACAGGAGTTTCCTTCACTCAGGATATGTCAAGGTATCCAAGAGTGTTACATGCTACATGCTTCTGTGTAGAGCATTCATTACAAAGGACTTAGGTCTCTGTATCGGAAACTTGGGTGAAAGACCAAACATTAGAACAAATGTTTTTCCTAGCAATCACGTCATGTTTTATGATTGTGTACCTGAGACTTGGTAAACTATAAACAAGAAAGATTTGTTCACAGTTCAGTCCTAGTCTTGTGTTTCCCAAGATAAGTGTTCTGGCATGGTTTTTCTCAGGGATATTTTTGCAGGAAGGCAAAATAGAAAGAGGGTGGGTGGTACTTGTGGGACTTGCTTTTCTATTTGTAATAGTCAGACACCCAGAAGAAGTGACTTAGAGGAGAAATGGTTCATAATCTCATCATTCCACTGTGGCAGGAAAATCAAGGCAGCCACAATGGGCCAGTCTGTGGAAGTGGGTGACTGGCTGGCTCTTCCCATGGCCTTAAGATGTTAAGAGCTCAAGACAGTCAAGTGGCCCAAATCACATTTCAAACCCATTTATGACAACCACTTAGTATGACTTACATTCACCTTCTGAAGTTTCCCAGCTTCCCAAAACAGTTGCTACCAGCTGAAGACAAACATTCAAAATATGAGCCTGTTGGGAGCATCACACATTCAAACCATAACAATACCCTTGAGGGAGAAACCTCATGGCAGAGTTATTTCTTAAAGGTTTTAAACTCTTACTGCTGTTCTAACGGCAGCTGTATTGTGACGTGAGGTTTGGGCAATGGCTCCTTATAAGCTGTGTTAGTTAGCCTGGTTCCCCACTGTAACAAAACACTAGAGAAAACCAGCTTAAAGGAGGAGAGTTTAATTTGGGTCTTCATTATAAACATTTTCAGCCATGGCTTCCTGGCCCTCTGTTTCTGGTGCTGTGGTGAGGCAGAACATAGTGCAGAGGGATGTGGTAGAAGAAAGTTGGCAACTCCCTGTCAGCCAGGGAAAGTAAGAGGAGGATGCAGGTGGCTTTCGGGGGTCTGGAGGCAAACACACCTTCCAAAGGCGTGTGCCAGTAACTTATGTCTCCTTTCCTCACATTGGCCTTCAGACTCATTAGTCAACCAGTCACTGACAGGGTTCATGCACTCATCACCAAATGAGCTCCCAAGGGTCCACCTCCGAATGCTGCTGAATTAGGGGCCACGCCCAACATATGAATCTGTGAAGAGTATTCCTTGTCCTACCTTGAGAAATTCCTTTGTCGGAAGTTAACCAGACAAGATTGAACTGGGGCCCCAGGAGGAAAAACGGAAGTCTACCAATAACCAGAGAACAAATTCCTCGTATAATATTGTTGCCTTTTATGGTTTAATTCATTAGGACATACTCAACTATTTGCAGATCATTGTGCAAGGAGAATATCTTTTGTTTCAATGGCTTGAGTCTTGAAAACCATTGGAGTCTCCTAAAATCACTCTATACCACTAATTACTGCTAATAGTTCTATTAGCCCCACCCCCTTTAAAAGGGTTACATAAGTTTCTGACTGGGTTGGCCTAATGCAAAGATTTTATTAAATGCTTGACTGTTTCATACAATTTATTTTGGTCGCAATCAGCCCGCTTCTGAACCCTTTCTAGATTCACCCCTCCCTTGCTTGCTCACCCAATGTCTTTTGTGTCCCATGCCCATGTCTTTTCTGCATTTCAACTATCTAGTGAACATCCATAAGGTGTGGAAGAAGATGGGCTCTGTTGAGTAATGGTTAATAAATAGAACTTCTAGTCTGACCAAGAGATTCATAAGGTGGAGGACAATGTCCAGGTATACCCTTGTATAAGCCAAGTTAAACATTTAGAGCAAAATCAACTAAATTCAGTAAAGTAGAGTCCCAATAAAATTGTTTCTTCTCTCATTAATATGGTATAAATAGTTCAATTTTAATAAATCTTGACATTGTGAAAAATATCTAGAAAATTATTTTGCCTCTAGATAGGGAACACAGTAATTCATATGTCTCTGAGAAGGGCAACCAGGTAACCTGTATGAATATTTCAAAGGCACCTGGCCTCTAGATTAATTACTTGACCTGTAGGAATTTTCTTCAAAGTAGCAAAATGTAAATAGATAAGCTTTATAGGTCATTTATCGTAACATACAGCAGTAACAATAGGAACACTCCCTACTAGACATTTTGGTATTTAGTAATAGGGATTATGTAATATATGAAATTATTTTTTAAGACGAAATATGTAACACTAAAGGTAGTTACCAAAAATACATAAATCAGAAGAAAACTGGGGATATGTATAGAGTATTCATTAATTAACCATATTTCTATTTATAATCCCATGTACTTTCATCCTTTTTAAAACAAAAACATAATGAAATTTATATAACTCATACTATTATGAAGTATTAGCACTTACCTTTGCTTGGGGGAGGCAGTACACTGATAAAATGACATGTGTTTGGAGGTCAGAAGACAACTTTGAGAAGTTGGTTTTCTCCTTCCAACATGTAGGCTTCTGAGAATTGTACTCAAATCATAAACCTTGATAGCAAGTGTCTTTATCCATTGAACCATCTTGCATGCCACACTAATCACTTGTTTAAGAATATATAATTTTCCATGATTATAAAACTCTAAAGATGTAGAATAACACATATTTCTATTCAAGATGTTCAAGTGTCATGAGAAGACATGTCTTATTACAGAGATGATATAAAGTACTTGTTTGGATGAATTCTTTATCTCAATGTTGCTACATTTAATAAGATTCCATTTTGGTGGACATAGCATCGTGTACATAATGAACTTCCTATCTCAAGTGTTTAACCAGATGGAATTTTAAATATTTCACATTTCTGGAAGAAAGGCGTTGTTCACTTTCTGCTTAGGTATTTAGTACTGGTAGAAATTAATTCTTTAGTCCATATTTGGATCCTTCACACTGTTCAGGAGATGGAGTGAGCAAAACCTCCACTCTTTCCTAGGCTTATAGACAGTGCATAGACTTTTCCATAACAGCACTTGCTTGGCTGCTTCTATCTACAGATAGCAATATACTGTAGAACAGCTACAGATAAGTCTAAGATTGATGCTACACATTTCCAGTACAGCAGCTCCTAAAATACAAGAGAAAAAAAATCCTAGAGAAAACCCACTGTTTATTAATGATTTGAATTCAAGTAAAGATAGTCTCTGAAGAAGGTAGACTTCCTACAGGCCATTTTCAGTATCATAATTGAGATGCTTGTGATTTGAACATTTTCTCAGTATCACTTGTTTCTGCAATTTAAAAATATTCTTTGGATGAAAAGGTACTTGCCTAGTCCAGACAGGCAGATGAAGCCATTTGTAGAATGTAAAAGCATCAGGACAGGCAGCTAATTAGGAATTTGTTCATTCAGACATGCAAGTCAGCTACTCTTTGGGACTCTATCCAAATAAACACAGAAAGCCTCAAAATGCATACACTGACAAATCTGTTAGCATGTAGATGGACATAATCCATCATGGTTTTTCACATGTATCTTTTGGGGATCATATTCACCTGTAAGATTTATTATTATTATTTGTATGTGCTTATGGTAGAAAAAAGTGTTTTAATGCTATTCCTGGGGAAAGGCACTGTTGTTTGGGGATTCCTAATTAGCTGTTTCCTGTTCATTTTACTTGCAAATGTGCTGCTTTTCTCTCTAGAAGTTTCCTAACAGCCCACATAACAAAACATTCAGTTTCATGAAGACTAAACAAGTGTTTAGATTTTAATTTAAAAGAAACCAAAGGAAGAACAACACATGGGTGGACAGTATAAGGTATAATGGGAGTTCTACTAAAAACCATGTCGTTGTCAAGAGTTGTCTTTTGTCCTTGATGAAACTGGGAAGTTTAACATTTTGAAGTGCAGGGTACTTCAAGACATCACTTGTGAGGACTATCTGTGATGAGATGTTAGGTTGCTCTCATTTGATTATTAACCAACCATTTTTGGATGTGTGTCTGGCTCCGTATGAGGTTCTGGGCTCCAAGGGAACAATGTGTAGCAGTGAGCACTGTCTGTGAATGATGGGAATGCTCCTCAGCACAGACTAGTACACGATGGTAAGACACTGGCCTTGCTTCTGCAAGTCAGTGAGTGAGGGATTGGAATGCATACTGTTTCTGCACTTTTTCATTATCTGCAGTATAGTCATCCTCTTACTTATGGTAGCTTTAGTTCTCCACATCTTACTCTAGATGTCTGTTCCATGGACTTTCTACCTGTCTCAAAAACCATAAAACACCTGCCAGAGTCCCTCTACAGACTCCAGGATTGACACTGCATAATGACTCCAATCCGCAAAGATTGCCTTCCTTGTTTCCAGATGTGTTCAGCTCCAGGCTTCAGTACACCTTTCATTGCTCCTGGTGGGTCAGAGGAGGCTACACATTGGTGAGATTCCTCTTCAGTTTCCTCAGCTTTCAACCACAACACACTTTCATCTTGTGTCCTTCATTCCCTTTCATCCGAAGTACTACTTCAACAATCTGTTGAGTAAGCATATAGCTATGGCATAAGGGGTATGGCTCTTATGTTACCAAGGGATTTTCTGGGATCTGCAGAGCAAGTAGAGGCTAGAGAGAGTGGAAGTATTCCATAAGGAGAAAACACTAGCTACACTGAAGAGGACAGCTGCTCCAAGGGCAAGAGTTGCACTAAAAGAATAAAATGCTTGTGCCCCATGGGACATACTTGGAATTTTGAGGGCTGGTTCTAAGCAAAGGAGAAATGAAGCCAGAAAGGCTAAAACATTTCTATCTTGACTAATCTACAGACCAGCACCTATATTTT